CGACCGGCTAGCAGTCGAATCTGTGCAACAGTTTCGTTTCCGTCGACAAACAGAAGCCTACATAAACTCATATATCACCGCTCCAAAAGGAAGGAACACACTACCAACCGCAGCTTCGAATGGCAACCGAAAAGTCGATAATCGCGTGGCAATCGAGCGATCTCGGTCTCGGCCTTGGTCTCGACTTCGGCTGAGCTGACGACTACAAGCCTCATACAAGTCCTGTCGTCCGTCGCATCCGCATCCGAGGTCTTGCATTCGACCATCATCCCTTTGCGGTCGTCGAAACTCTCGGACTGAGGCGTTGTTGACCGCGCTGTCCTTTCACGCGGTACGAGCCAACCACCCGGCCGGTTGCCTAGAGACCTCAACGACAGGACCAGAGCAGTGGCCGCTGCGGTTTCCCTCCTTCCGTTTCGGAAGCGGCAGCTTTTGTTCCGAAAACTGTTAGAGGTACCTTTTGATTGATACATCTCCAGTATAGTCTCGATGCTCCATGTCCGACGACCAATGGTTCGTACAGTACGCATCAATAATCCACCGATCGTAGTTATACCTCAAGATGATTCTACCAGAGGCAAAGACATTGCTGACTGTTATGAAATTGTGTCCCCCTGATGACTGGTTCAGCTCGATCTGCAACGTCGCAATTATGTTTCATCAAATACGTCTGCGGAAAAAACGCTTTGACGCGTATGACGATTATCGGCTCCCGAAACACCGTTCGTGAGCAGCTAGAGGTGGCCCCGTCAGATGAAATTATGTCACATGTATCTGACACTGCAAGCACTGTTTAAATCGGCTTCTTCTATACAACTAGGAGCAAAGGGGGCTGTGCAGTACAACGTGAAATCTGATCTTTAGGAAATTATATGCCATTTTGCATAGTGACCAATTATATGACATGTCCTGGATAAAACCGTAGTTTTATTATCTCATGCATATGCACGTACGAGTACAGACACACCTGGACTTAAGTAACTCAGGGACAAAGGACTATGGAAAAATTTCGAGTTATAAAAATTGTAAGTAACGTTCGCGCGTTATTGGCATATCATCTAACAGCGGTCTTCCACAAGACAGACAGCTACGCGGTGCATCTCTGCATCTTCCTCAGACTCGTTTTAGTTACCGTCGAACACCGACGTGCTGCATATTACGATTCCTAAACTTTAATAATTTAGTTCAGTATTACTGTGGCATCATGACTGGAAAAAGGAGCAGAAATTAACCTTTACTTTAACGTACCAAAACTGATTTCGAGATGAAAATGATAAAGAAATCTGAAGAATGATAAAGCCTAAATCTCAGCGGCTATATTACTTAATCCAGATCTCACA